TAAAAGTTCGTAATTTATTATTGATGTTATTAGTAAATATATAAATGATTAATAAATTTATTAAAACAATTATTATAAATTTATACAAAAACATTAGATTCCCATTTTAATGATTTAAATTAAATAAAAATTTAAAATAATTTTTTATAAATATTATGATATTTTCACTTGTTAATAAAACTTTTATGTTTATTAGATGTTATTTTTTCAAAACATTATTTCTAATAAAATGTTTATTTAAAAAAATAACCAATTAATTGACTTAATAATTATAAAAATCAATTTCATTCTTTGTTACTTTTTTTATTAAAAGATTTTACCCCTAAATTTAAAGAATGGTTAATTATTATAAAAAGTCATACAAAAGAATTATAATTAATATTGTATGTGGAAGTTTTTTCATCTTGCTGGTATTCTTACAACATTTACATGCATTTCATGTTATTGATCATTCTATTGAAAATACAATAAAAAAAGAGATTAGAAGTGTTAAAGAATTATGTGGTGCTTCTAAAGAAGAATTTATGAAAAATACGGTATATTTAGGTTTTTTAAGTCTAAATTTAGAAGAATTAATTAGTAATTATAAAACTGATAATAGTTTGTTTAAATTATCTAAAATTCGAGGATTAAGAGTTTATGAATTTTATAGGAAAAATCTTTTAGTTTATTTATATTGTTGTGGTAAATTACATGAAAATTACTCTTCAGATATTAAAAATGTTTGTAATGATATACCTGTTGATGAGGAAATGGAGGAAAAAACTAAAAACGATGAAAATTGTGAGAAAGAAATTACAGAAGGACCTATATTTAAATTAATAGATTCCGCTATTGAATAAATTTAAAAAATTCATATATTCATTTTAAAAGGTTTAAATACTACTTTGTTCTCATTTTTTATTCTTTTATAGTTTTAATATCAAAAATACGTATTTTAAATTAAAAATATTTTTAAAATTTATCAGATCATAAAATAAATTTTCATTTAAATTATACTTAATTATAGTTATATTAGTAAAAATTACTAAATATATACTTTTAAAAATAAAATTAATTTCTATTTTAATTAAAAATTAAATATTTCAAATTGATTATTTTTTTAATTTAGGAATTATTTAATGAAATTAATTTTTAAGGGTATGCTAATATTAAATTTAATAAGTGCTGGGTTTAGTAATTTACATAGAATTAACAAATTTAATAATCTTGATTATTATGAAACAGGTTTAAGCTACTTAAATAATAATTCAAATCATTTAGGTATAGTTATACTTGCAGGTGGAGAAGGATCACGATTAGGTATAAAAGGTTCAAAGGGTTTATTTGAATTAAACGGTAAAGTAGTATTTGAGTATTTACTAGAGAAAATAAAAGTACTTAAAGATAGCTCATCTGCTAAAATATCTTTGTTAATTATGACAAGTAATACAGTTGAGAGTGATACTAGAGGATTTTTTAATAGAAAAGATCTTTCAAAATATTGTGATTATTTTGATATTTTTTTACAGGGACATTCTACTGCTTTAAATCTTGATGGAGAAGAATTTGTTAGTGAAAAAGGAAATAAAAAAATAGCTCCTAATGGTAATGGTGATTTTTTTAACAAAGTAAAAACAAGTAGTCTTTATGAGAAAATTGATCATTTTTTAGTTATACCGGTTGATAATATTTTTGTTGAGCTTTTTGATCCAGTTTTTTATGGTTGTGCCATCAAAGAGAATTATGACATTTTTAACAAGGGAATTGAAGTTGATAAAGCAGAAAAGGTAGGGTGTTTTAAATTTGATGGTAATAAAGTTACTGTTACTGAGTATATTGATCATAACGAGGATAATTATATTGGAAATATCTGCTTTCATTTATTTACTAAAGATGCAGTTGAGTTGTTGAGTGAAGCACAATTAGATACTCATTCAGCTACCAAAACATATGTTGAAGATGATATTACATACACAATTGTTAAGAAAGAAAAATTTATTTTTGATAATTTCAATTTAGTAAATAAAAGTGGTGTTATGGTTGTTGATAGAGAAGAAGAATTTCATCCATTAAAATCTCAAGATGACGTAGAAAAAATTTTGTTATTGATAAATCAAAAAATTAATTAAAATGATTGATTTAATATTTTTTAATAAAAAGAGTTTTATTTTATTGAAATTTCAAGATATTTCAAGAAAAATTTGTTATTGATAAATCAAAAAATTAATTAAAATGATTGATTTGACATTTCTTTAATTAGAAGTTTTTTAACTATAGAACAAATTAAATATTTATAGAAAAAATAATTTCAACCCCATGTATTTTTTAATATTACTACTAAAGTGTATATTGGGTGCCAGAGCAATTCGTAATAAGAAACCAAGTTATTACAAAATTTTAAACAATGGAAATATAATTCGTATGGATAACACAAAAAGATTAAATGATGATTTTTTTTCAAATGGTGTAATTATAAGCAATGAAAGTAATTCTAAAAGTGATTTATCAACCCCAGAAGTAGATTTAAACTTAATAGAAGAAAAAATTTTAACTTTAGAGAAAAACACATCTTCATCTTCAACTTCAAATGATCTTATTGAATTGTTTAAACCAATAAAATTTTATACCGAGAAAGGTAGCAAAGAATTAAAAAAAGAAATTAAACAGTTTTTAGAATCCTATAAATTAGAAATTGCTAATATTCTCGATCAAACATTATTAATTGAATTACCTGAAAAGATAATTGATCAAGAAGATAATAAAGATATAATAGATTTGATTGAAAAAGAAAGGAAATTAGTAAATGACTATGTAAAAGAATTCATTCAATTAACTAAAGAATCATTAAATGAAATATTTGATAATTTAGATATCAACGTATTCAATATTAATAAGAAAATATTTGAGAAAACATTAGCTATCAAATTAGATAGCACTTTTAATATTTGTATAGGAAAATTAAAAGAAAATATGACTTTACTTTTTACAAAATTACATGGTAATATCAATGAATCTGAAATAAGTCAAGCATCTGAATTAACTAACTTCTTAATAAAAATAACAAATAGTGATGTCGACTATATCAACTCAATAATAGAAGATATACAATATGAATTTGATAAAGTTAAGAAAGAAAAAATGATTTTACTTAATAATCAATATTCTGATTTTATAAGAAAGATATCTTTGGATATTAATAAGTTTTTAGAATCTCTTAAAGGAAATTTAGGTATTGAAGATGTAGACGTTAATAATGAAGAAGAAGATTCAAAACTAATTCAATCATCTGATGAATAAATCTATTAAAAAGTGTAATTATTTTATTAAAAAATTAAATAAAGAATCTCAAATAAGGCTAAATATGAAAACGACATGTCTTAATATAAATTCATTCGTTTTGACAAAAATTTCAAAAGGTATTCTTTGTAAACTATTTAATATTTATATTTTGGTTAATTAATTGAATAAAGATTGAAAGTGTAATGTAGTTTTAGAATATTCCTGATTAAAACAATTTTTATAGAATGATTTAAAATTAAAATAAGAACAACTTAATCAAAAATAAACATTCTAATAATTTATTTTTTAATTA